CCTCCTCCTCCTCCTCCTCCTCCTCCTATTCTTAGTAGTAGACTGTTTAATACTCTTAGTGTTAATATTCGTAGTAGTATTAGTATAATGATTATGAGCATGAGTATGGCTATGATTGTGGTGATGAGTAGTATTGGTATTGGTACTTGCATGTGCAACATTCGTATTATTAATCTCAACAATGTCATCATTACCATTATTAATATTACTATTCACATTCGTATTAGTAGTGTCCGTATTATGAGTAATAATATGAGTAAGATTACTGATATTGTTATAATTAGCCTTATGATTAGTAGTAGTACGATTATCGTTGTCATTCTTACCATTATCACTATCACTGTGATTGTTATTCGTAGTAGTAGTGATGTGAATATTAATAGGGGTTATTCGTATGATTCATATCATTTGTATTACTATTGTTCTTGCTATTCGAATGATTAATAATAATATTAGTATTAGTGGTGTTAGTAGTATTAATATTATTATTAATATTACTATTAGTATAATTCGTATTATTATTATGCTTATGATCATTAGTAGTAAAGATACGATTAGTATTATTAGTCGTATTAGTCGTATTACTAGTAGTAATAGTAGTAGTAGTAGTAGTAGTAGTAGTAGTAGTAGTAGTAGTAGAAGTAGTAGTAGTAGTAGTAGTAGTAGTAGTCGTAGTAGTAGTAGTAGTACTAGTAGTAGTAGTAGTAGTAGTAGTAGTAGTAGTAGTAGTAGTAGTAGTAGTGATATCATTCGCACCATTATTATTATTAGGTGACGTATTTCCCATTCGTTGTAGCATTGCTCTTCTTATTCACCTTAAGCATGTTCTTATGATGATTACGATTAAGAATAATAATATTCCTCCTCCTTTTCCTCCTCCTCGTATTATTCCTCGTCCTCTTACTTTTAACATGCGTATTATTCTGATTATCTTCCATACTAGGTCTTATGACATGTTCTCATCCACCTCCACCTCCTCCTCCGCCTCCGCCGCCTCCGCCTCCGCCTCCGCCTCCGCCTCCGCCTCCGCCTCCGCCTCCGCCCCCGCCTCCTCATCCGCCTCCGCCCCCTTTTCGTCCTCCTCCTCCTCCTCCTCCTCTTCTTTCGTCCTCTTCCTCCTCCTCCTCCTCCTCCTTCTCCTCCTCCTCCTCCTCCTCCTCCTCCTCCTCCTCCTCCCTCCTCCGCCCTCCCCCCTCCTGCCTCCCCCTCTTCCTCCCTCATTCTCCCCACCCCCGCTCCAGCCCCGCCTCTCCCTCAGGTGCCCGCCCGAGCTCGGCAGCGGGCATTCGCGCGACAGCGCGGTTGGATAGCAGTAGTAAGAGCCAGCGTAGTGGACGAGGTGGTCGAACTTGGAGATCTTCGACAAGCCCAGGAGTTCCTAGGAAGACCCCAAAAATACGCCTACACCGATCATTGCCAGGCCGATCCAGGGTCCACGATCGGTGTATACGCCCTCTTCGGCTGGACGAGGAAAGCACGCACTAAACGGGCCCAAGGACACACAAGCATGTGTATATATATATATATATATACATATATACACACACACACACACGAGAGAGAACGCGTTTCACGGGCGCTCGCCTTGGGAACATCCGGCGGCGCGTTTCGAACCGGGGGGTGCCCCCCCCCCCAACACTCGGCGCCGTCGATCAAAACCAGGGGACTCCCCTCCCCCCAACCCCCCACCCTCCCGACCCCCCCCCCCTCTCAGGGGGGGTGAGGGAGGTCCAAAGCCCCCCCACAACCTCAGCGCCGGCGCCGGCGCCGGCGCTGGCGGCCGCCAGCAGTGCCGACGGCAGGGACGCAGCGACGATGACCAGAAACACCCCTTGGCGCCAGCGCCGGCGCTGGCGACGGCCAGCAGCGCCAGCGCTGGCGCCTGCGACAGCGGGGGCCCAGCGACGATTACCACTACCGCCACCACTACCACTACGACCACCACCTCAAACCACCACAACCACAACCAACCCACCACACAACCACCACCACAACCACCACCACCACAACCACCACCACCACCACAACCACCACCACCACAAGTCACCAACACCAGCACCACCAGAAAAACCCACCACCATTACCACCACTACCGCAATCTACCACACCACCACCACCACCACCACCGCCACAACCACCACCACTACCAACAGCACAACCCACCACCACCACCACAAACCACCACACCACCACCACCACCACCACCACAAGCACCACCACCAGCACCACCTCCACAAACCACCGCCACCACCACAAACCCACCACCCCCACCACCACAAACCACCACCACACCACCACCAGCACCAACACCATATCACCACCACAACCCATCACAACCACCACCACCACCACAAACTGACACCACACCACCACCAAACCACCACCACCACCACACCCACCACCACAACCATCACCACCACAACAAACCACCACACCACCACCACCACCACAACCACCACCACCGCCACCACCACCACCACAACCCACCACCACCACCACCGTCGTCCTCGTCGACGCTCCCTGCCACCGCCGCCCGCCGCCACAGGCGCAGGCGCCGGCCCAGAAAAAGAAATCGTCGTCCCCGCCGCCGCCGCCAGCCGCCGCCGACGCAAGCGCCGGCCCGAGGAGAGGGAGAGAAGTAGGGAGGGGGGGGTGTTCGAACCCGCCCCCTTCCGTCACGGGGGGGGTTCGAACCCCCCCTAATCCATCCAAGGGGGAGGGGTCCGGTTCCAACCCCCCCCCTCCAAGCGACCACAGAACGCGCTCTTTCACATATATATATATATATATATATACACACACAAATCCCATAATCCCCCGTATGTTCCCAGATGTTCTGGTTTTCGTCGTGCCCCCCCACGTCCCATCTGTGATTCGAGGAAGATTTGTGTCTGCGTGTTTTTCTCCAACCATCCCGTGGTGTTGGGTCCTCGTTTTGAAAAACAGCGCACCGCGTTCCTTCCTCCTCCTCTCCTCCTCCTCCTCCTCCCCCTCCTCCCATCCCTTGCCTCTGCTCTCCCCATGTCCACCATTTCGGCACACCCCTCACGAGGATCGTGGCCCCGTAGGGAGCTCCACCGAAGGCCCCAGTGGCACAGGCCGCATGCGCCCGACACCCATTTTGGCACACCCCTCACACGGTTCGTGGCCCCATAGGGAGCTCCACCGAAGGCTCCAGTAGCACAGGCCGCATGCGCCCGACGCCTCCATTTTGGCACACCCCTCACACGGTTCGTGGCCCCATAGGGAGCTCCGCCGAGGGCCCCAGTGGCACAGGCCGCATTCGCCCGACGCCCATTTTCGCACAACCTTCACACGGTTCGTGGCCCCGTAGGGAGCTCCACCGAAGGCCCCAGTGGCACAGGCCGCATGCGCTCGACGCCCACTTAGTCAAACCCCTCACACGGTTCGTGGCCCCGTAGGGAGCTCCACCAAAAGCGGTACCCACAACGCGGTACTCACAGCTGCGCATGGTTGGGTCTTTCGCCCAGATAAATTCACTCCTGATATACGCCAATCCTGGGCCCAGGGCTGGTCTGGCCAGGCTCGGTGTGGGTGTATAGCTGTGACGCCCTCCGGGCTCCGTGAAATCGCCGCGGTAGGGGCCCTCGACGCTGCTGCCGAAGCGCGAGAGGGACGCGCTGAGGTGCTCTCGGACGGCGCTCACGTCCCCGCCTCCTCTCCGCCATTCGCGTATGAGATCGACTACATAATCGATGCTCCCCCAAGATGCTGTTGCTTTTTGTTGAGGAGGATTTACACACAAAATGGCAAGTGCTTGTCGATCAACCGAAAATTCTGCACAGCTTTCAGAGACTGGGTGGAAATTCAATACTGGAGTAAATCAACTCTCTGACCAGGAAGGGCCTTTAGAACCCCCAACCCCAACAGTGGAAATGATTCGTCATTCCGACGCAGGAGGAGCAGGAGGAGGAGGAGGAGGAGGAGGAGGAGGAGGAGGAGGAGGGGGAGGGGAGGGGAGGGGGAGGGGGAGGGGGAGGTGGAGGGGAGGAGGGGGGAGGAGGAGGAGGAGAGAGGAGGAGGAGGAGGGAGGAGGAGGAGGAGGGTCGAGTTTGTTTCCCGCCGACAGATAAGCGGGGGGGGGAAGGATCAAAACCAAAGTCGCCCTCCTGCTCGAGCCATTGAGGGAGATGGGACTCCCGAGGGAAGCGGGCCCCTGGGACCCTTGGCGCCGGCCCCTGGGACGAGCGGCTGCCCTCCCCGATCGTGCTCCGTGGCGATCCCCGCGGCGCGGGGAGGGCCCCGGCGGGCCCGAAGACGGCGAGAGGGACGAGTATTGGTGACTTCTCTGGCTCGACTGGGTTGGGCGTGGATTAATGGGGGGTCATGAATGGGGGGGTCAGAAACGGTCCCCTTTCGTGCCCTTTTCATGCCCCTCCCGAGGCCCAGGGGACTCGTTTAGGTACTGTTTGGGTACCTTTTCAGACTACCCTCGCCCCCCCTCCCATTTATGCCCCCCCCCAATGCCACTATGCAACGCCCAACTGGGCCAGGACCCTGAGATCCTGGCGTCTCAATTGTTTCGAGCCGGGCACTCTCGCATGTCTCGGGCCCCAGGACCCGTGCACAAATGGATCTGGCTCGAAACATGACGCAGTCAGATGGGGTCTAGGGCTCCAAGCGTGATTTTTGACGTTGCTGCCGCTTTTTCGCTGCGTCGAGTCTTGAGGGAGGTCGCAGACGCCGATCCGGCGCGGCACCTCGGCGGCAAGTGAGGGGGAGAAGTGAGGGTCAAAAGGCCTTCTCTGAAAGCGGCGGGACTTCTCAGAAAACCTCCGGCCTTTTGAGGGGTCTTCCGTGTCCTTGGGGAAGGCTTCGAAAACTTCTGAGAAGGCTGGGGGACTTCCGAGCCTTCTGAAAAGGCCCGCCCATTCTCACTTTCCCCCTGGGCTCGCCGCCGATGAGTAGAGAGCAGCAAAGCCACCCTCATCGTAAGCACCCCGACGAACGACGACGTTTCGCAAACGCACCAAGGGAAGGAATCGAGCAGGACAGGGCTGTTTAGTAAACGCCCAGTGCTGTTCAGAAAACGCCAATTATGTGGGTCGGGGTGCTTCTCCTCCTCTGACTACGCGCCCCTTCTCCTCAGAGAAACCTTTCTCTCATTAGAGGAGCAAGCCTGAGGGATCCACGAACCCGGTGAGGAGTTTGAGTCCAACTTTCTTCTGACACGAGTGCTGCACTTTCCCTTTTCTGGACTGTCACCACTACCTCCTGTCCTTCCTCCTCCCCCTCCATCTCCTCCTCCACTTCCTCCTCCTCATCATCATAGCAGCAGCAGCATCAACATCAGCATCCGCATCATCATCATCATCATCATCATCATCATCATCATCAGCAGCAGTAGCAGCGGCAGCAGCATCATCTCATAACATCCTCCTCCTCCTCCTCACCACCACCACCACCTCCTCCTCATCATCATCATCATCATCATCAGCATCATCACCACCACCAGCATCATCATCATCACCACAACCACCACCACCACCATCATCATCATCAGCAGCAGCAGCAGCATCAACATCAACATCAACATCAACATCAGCATCAGTATCATCAGCATCAGCATCAGCATCATCACCATCATCATCATCAGCATCGTAAGCAGCATCAGCATCAGCATCATCATCATCATCAGCAGCATCACCATCGCCATCGCCATCGCCATCGTCATCGCGACCATCATCATCAGCAGCAGCACCTTCATCATCATCAGAATCACCATCATCATCACCATCATCATCAGCATCATCACAGCATCATCAGCATCACCGTCACCATCAACATCATCAGCAGCCTCCTCCTCATCCTCATCATCAGCAGCATAATCACAATCAGCATCATCGTCGTCGTCCTCATCCGCATCATCAGCAACATCATCATCATCAGCAGCAGCATCATCATCATCACCATCAGCATCATCAGCACCATACTGATAAACATCATCATCACCACTATCATCATCACCAGCATCAGCATCAGCATCAACAACATCATCATCATCAGCAGCATCATCATCACCATCGCCATCATCATCACAGCATCATCGGCAGTAGCACGGGCATCATCACCAGCATCAGCATCATCCTCATCATCCTCATCCTCATCCTCATCGTCATCACCACCATCATCCTCATTATCATCATGACCACCACCATCATCATCATCACCACCACCATCATCACCATCATCAGCATCAGCAACTTCTTCATCATCATCATCATCATCATCATCAGCAGCAGCAGCAGCATCATCCGCATCCTCATCCTCATTATCGTCGCTACCTCCTCCTCCTCCTCCTGCTCTTCCTCCTTCTCCTTCTCCTCCTCCTCCTCCGCCGCCGCCGCCGCCACCGCCGCCGACGAGGACCGAGGAAGCCGACGACGACGGCGGGGCACGGGTGGCGCACGGACAGCGACGGCAATGGGGCACAGCTGTCGCTGGCAGGGATGGCGCCGTGTAACAAATTGGCCCCCCTCAAGTTGTCCCCCCCCCCCTGGGGGCCGTGAGCACTTGAAAATAAGTGCCACGCGCGCACTCGCCAGGCGGATGTTGCCCCCCCCCCACACACACACTCACACACACACACACACACACACACACACACGCACACACACACACACGACACACGCGCACGCACACACACACACACACACATGCACACACACACATACACACATACACACACACACACATTCCGCGCACGTATGTTGACATTTTCACCTGTAAAGAATCCGCCGACTAGAAGAGGGGTACCCCCTGTGGGCCGTGAACACTTGAAAACACGTGCTCCGCGCACACGCGCCAGGCGCGTGATGGCGCGCCCCCCTCCGCTCACATACTTTTACGCGCCGACTAGAAGCTGGGTCCCCTCCCTGGGGGGCCGCGGGCACGCGAAAACACGTGCCACGCGCGCACGCGCCAGACGCATGTTGCCCCCCCCCCCCCCCTCCGCTCATGTTTTTCTTCTACTTGTCCAAATCCGCCGGCTAGAAATCGGGTCCCCCAACTGGGGGCCGTGGACACGTGAAAACACACGCCCTGCACGCAATGTTAGACCCCCCCTCCGCACACGTACTTTTTTCTGTAAAGGTTCCGCGAACTAGAAGTTGGGTCGCCCCCTGGGAGCCGTGGGCACATGAAAAAACGTGCCCCGCGCGCGCACGCGCCAAGCGTATGTTGGGTCCCTCCTTCCGCGAACGTGCATTTCCAGTTGTCAAAACACTGCCGACTAGAAGTTGGGTCACCCCCTGGTAGCCGTGGACACGTGAAACAGGTGCCCCCCGCGCGCACGCGCCAGGCGTATGTTGGGTCCATCCTTCCGCGAACGTGCATTTCCAGTTGTCAAGACACCGCCGACTAGAAGTTGGGTCACCCCCCTGAAGCCGTGGACGCGTGAAAACAGGTGCCCCGCGCGCGCACGCGCCAAATACATGTTGGGTCCCCCCCTCCGCGCGGGATTTTTCACGTGTAGAGAATCCGCCGGTGGAAGTTGGGTGCCCCCCTGTTGGGCCTGTTGTTGCGAGAAACGCATGAAAACACGTGCCAAGAGAATCCATGCCGAGACGCATGTTGGAACCCCCTTCCCTCCGCACACGTATTCTGACGTTTCAAACTCCGACGTCTGCTGCTCGACACCCTGTTGCAACTACAAGGCCCAAAGCCCGCCACCACAAAGAGAACCCTGGGCCAGAGCCCTTACCGGGACTAACTGCATAAGCATAAACGTTGGGAAATCCGCGCGGAACTACGACTGTTTATGCTTATGCAATTGTTGTTCACCTTCTGTTGTTGGGCTCTCGCTTTGAAAAGAGCACCGTGGTCACGGCCTCCCTCCTTCCCGCCCCCTTCCCCCCCCCCTCTGGTGGGATGCGACTGGGGGGCAGTGCGGTGCTACGCAGACCACAGCGGGACCTCGCCAGGCCTGGCGGGCTGCGATCTGCGAAACCGTCGCCACTTTCGAGGGCTGCTGGGGGGGGCAGCCAGTGGGGCCCCACCGTGACTCAGGTTAGACCTCGCCATCGTTGGGGGCCTGCGATCTGCGAAACTGTCGCCACTTTCGAACCCTGCTGGGGGGGGCAACACAGCGTCGCCCCACCCAGACCAGTATAGACCTCGCCATCGTTGGGGGCCTGCGATCTGCGAAACTCTTGCCACTTTCGAAGGCTAATGCAGGGGCCAGCGGAGCGAAATCCCACGCAAACCTGATTTAGGCCTCGCCTTCCCTGGGAGGCTGCGATCTGCGAAACGATCGCCACTTTCGACAGCTGCTGGGGGGGGGGGCAGCATAGCGGGGCCCTGTCCAAATTAAGATGAAACCTCGCCATCCCGGGGGGGGCTGCAATCTACGAAACTGTCTCCATTTTCGAACGCTGCTGGGGGTTGCGGCTTAGTGCGGTGCTGCGCAGAGCAGAGCGGGACCTCGCCATCTCTGGGGGGGTGCGAATTGCGAACCTGTCGCCACTTTCGAGGGCTGCTGGGGGCTCCAGCGGAATGACGTCTTACGCAGATTCAGATTCGACCTCGCCATTCGTGAGGGGCTGCGATCTGCGAAACTGTCGTCACTTTCGAGGGCTGCTGGAGGCTCCAGCGGAGTGACGGGGATTCGACCTCGCCATCCGTGGAAGGGGCTGCGAGTTGCGAAACTGCTGCCAAGTTTCAAGGCTGCCAGGGTGCCAACATAGCGGGGATGTTAGGCGGATGCAGATGAGACCTCTCCATCCCTGAGGGGGGTGCGATCCGCGAAACTGTCGCCACTGTCGAGGGCTGATTGCTGACATACCTCGAAACATCATCTCTATCGAATCACCTCCATCAAGCCCGTGTTCATTGGTCGGTGTTCTGCGGGCCGCGCACCTCGCGAGCCTCCCGCATACCACTCGCAAACCATATATCCCCTTCCCGCGTTACCACCCACCACAACGTCTGCCCAGCTATTCTGGCCATGCGTTGCGCAGAGGTTGGGCACACCGTCAGGGTAATTTCTGACTCGACTCACGGTGGTCCTCTCTCGGCTCTGGGCGGCGTGAACGAGTAGAACGCCTGATCCACGGCGGCATACATCAGGTGCTGCGCGGCGTCGAAGTGGGCGAAGCGTCGGTGGCCCTCCGCCGCGCTACGCAGCAGCGCGGTGGGGATGGGTGCCCCAGTCTTGGAGTGGCTGGCGTACCTGGACAGGCAGCCCGGATCCTTGGGACTCCCGAAGCGGGCATACACGGAAGACCAAACGGCAGAAACGCTTGGAGGTCCGAGGTCTGCGCAGATGTCTTGGATCGACGCTGGCCCCCTCGGCGGCGCCTACGGCGCCGCCCCTGGCGCGCTTCGCGCAGCCAGGGCCGCCCGGGAGGGGCACGAGGGGCGACGGCAGGGGGGACCGGCTCCGGGAGAGGGGGGAGACGTGGGCCCGGGAACTGGGCGGTGCACCGCCCAGGGATGGGCGACAGGCCCTCCTGTGGCGAGTCCGCGGGCTCCTGGACGGGGTGGGCTGTCGGGCCCCGCGACGGCGATGAGCCCCCCCCCCTGAGCCGACTCCCCCCTGGCGGTGCCCGTGAGCAGGGTCGAGCCCCCGGAGGCGTCTTCGATAAAGGGCAGAGAAGCAAAAGCAGGGAAGGCCTCAGGATGCGAGCCCGGCCACAGGCTAGCCAGCCACACACACCATGCAACCAGTTCACACATCAACCAACGCAAAAGCTGACAACCCGCGCACGAATCAGAGATCGTCCAACCAAAAACCCAATCGTCTGCCAGCCTACGGCCAGCCAGATAGCATCGGGAGCGCCCCGGATCAGCGGAACAGGCTGGAGGCCACTGCTTGCAGGCAGTGCCGCCCCTGTTGGCACCAGAGCGCGTCGATTCTTGGCGGCGCGCACAAGGCGGTAAGGGGGAGGGGGGAAAGCCTCTTAGAAGGAGGCCGCTTCTTAGAAGGCGCCAGCCTTACCTTCCCCCCTCCCCCTGCCCCCCTCTGCGCGTGGCGAGATTCTCGCCGAGATTCGCCCCTCTGCGCGGGGCCCGTCGCTATTCCACGCGCCTTGATATAGTCCGTGGTCTCGAGTCCTCGGATTTCGACCGCACCCCGCGGTCCAGCACGTAGTGCTCGAACAGGTGGGAGGGGAACTCCACGAAGTCCACCGCGCCGCGCGTCCCCGAGAGGTGCTGGAAGGAGGTCGCGGAGAGCAGCGAGTGCACCGCGTGCCCGATCTCGTGCATGAACGTGACGGCGAAGGACATTGGCAGCCCAGGCATCCCGACGGGCAGCGCATACACCAGCGTCGTCTTGGGCACCTGCTGCCTGCCGCCCTCCAGCGCCTCTAGAGACCTCCCGAATGGGGTCCCAGTAGATGGGGTCGGAGGATCGCGTCTCATCGCCAATGCATCGGCGCCGTCGGCGTCGAGAAAATCAAACTCCACATCGAGCCGCTTCGCCGATGCATCGGCGATGCGGCGCGATGCTCCGACCCCATCTACTCGGACCGCATCTGGGAGGCCTGGAGCCTTGGACCCCTGCAGTGTGAACTGCGCGGACTGTACCGCCTTCCCGGGCCGCTCGAACGGGTCCATGTACAGCACGCCCAGCATCCGGTCCCCCTCGCGCAGGGTGTACTTCTGCACCGACGGGTGCCACACCTCTCCTGGCCCGGGCTGCTCCGCCACGAACCCCAAGCCCAGCAGCTCCGAGAGGATGATTGAAGAAGCAAAACATACACAAACATCAGCTTTCGAAGGTCCGCGCGGATTTCTCGGATCGGCGCTGGGCCCCCCCCCTCCTTGGCGGGCGGCGCCGGAGACGCCAAGGGACCTCAGCGCAGATCCGCGAGATCAGCGCGGAGTTCGGACAGCTCAGTGAACGTTTTCTTATTCAGCATTCTGACATTGGGCGAAGGGGGGGAGGGGGGGTCTGGCTCGGGACATCTGCGTAGTGTGACTGTTTGCGGCCGTGCGTCCCATGGGGGAGGCTTCACCTGCTCGAAACAGGCGCCAAAAACAGCCAAGATACACTCCACTAGACGAGTGCGTTCCACTACCTGCGAAATAACTTCTCGAAAATGGCCTGGATTCGCCGCGGGGGATCTACGATAAATTACATCGAAGCAGGTGTGTTGTTCGGACGTTTGCGAGTAGGCACTTTGCGAGTAGTTGAACGCGCTCGGTGATCCACGGAAGAGGGTGGGGAAGGGGGTGCGAGGGCCCGCGCCGACCGGCAAAACGATGAACAAGAAAACGATCACTTCAGTTGATGCTGTTTTTCTAGGGCGGCGGGATCTATGCACATCCGCTGCCTCAGGCCTGGCACCTCCTGGACCCAGGAGCGGTGCACACGCCGCCGCTGGCTTGGACAGGGATGCGTACATATACATATAGCTATAAACATATCTGTATATATACATATATATATATATATATATATATGCACATACATGTACACACACACACACCGTTCCTGGGCCGGCATGGGCCAGGCCTGGAGCGCTGGGTGTGTATGGAGTCCCTTGCCCTCGCTTCTTCTTCGAGATGAGCTCGACCCCACGCATCAAGGAGCCGTAGCTCAGGTACTCCGATGCTCGGCGGCGAGCGAGGGGGGGAAATGAGAGGGGGCGGGCCTTCTCAGAAGGCTCAGAAATTCCCCGGCCTTCTGAGGAGCTTTCTGAGCCTTCCCCGAAGACACGGAAAACTTCTCAGAAGGCCGGAGGCCCTCTGAGAAGCCCCCCCGCCCTCTAAAAGACCTTCTCCGTCTCACTTACCCCCCTGGCTTGCCGCCAAGATACGTCCTCCTCCCGGCGGTGCCGCTCCCGGGAGCTGCTGAGGAGCAGCGGCACGTCCCAGGCCTGCAGGACGGGCTCCCCGAGGCCCAGCTCCTGCTTCTCCTGGGCCAGGGCGCGCAGGTCCCTCTCCTGGACCAGAAAGCTGCGTCAATGTCAGAGTGTAGGGCAACGTGATCTATGACGATGACGATGACGCTGACGATCACCATGCGATGATATCGTCACCGTCAGCGTCAACGTCGTCGTCATCGTCATCGACCGTCATCGTCATCGTGACCGTCGTCGTCATCGTCGTCGACGTCGTCATTATCAACATCATCATCATCATCATCAGCATCATCATCATCATCATCATCATCATCATCATCATCAGCATCAGCATCAGCATCAGCATCATCATCATCATCCTCCTCATTCTCATCCTCATCCTCATCCTCATCACACTCATCATCACCATCAACTTCGTCATCATCATCATCATCATCATCATCATCTTCATCCTCATCATCATCATCATCATGATCAGCATCACCACCCCCATCATCATCATCATCACCATCATCACCAACGTCATCATCATCATCATCATCATCATCATCATCATCATCATCACCATCAACATCATCATCACACTCATCATCATCATCATCACCTTCTTCATCATCATCATCGTCATCATCACCACCACCATCATCATCCTCATCATCATCACCATCCTCAACATCATCACCATCATCACCAACGTCATCATCATCATCATCATCATCATCATCATCATCATCACACTGATGATCATCATTACCTTCTTCATCATCATCGTCATCATCACCACCACCATCAGCATCCTCATCATCATCATCACCATCATCACCAACGTCATCATCATCATCACCAACGTCATCATCATCATCATCATCATCATCATCATCATCATCGCCATTACCTTCTTCATCATCATCGTCAACATCACCACCACCACCATCATCATCCTCATCATCATCATCACCATCACCACCACCACCACCACCACTACGACCATCATCATCATCATTACCCTCATTACCCTCATCATCCAGTTCATCATCATCATAATCCTCATCCTCATCATCATCACCCTCCTCATTATCATCCTCATCATCGTCATCATCATCACCATCATCAGCAGCAGCAGCATCAGCATCAGCATCATCATCAGCATCGGCACCATCCTCCTCCTCCTCCTCCTTCTCTTCCTCCTTCTGCTCATCATTATCAGCATCATCATCATCATAATCATCACCATCACCATCACCATCACCATCATCAGCAGCAGCAGCAGCACAAGCATCATCATCACCATCATCAACAACATCATCACCACCATCACCATCATCAGCATCATCATCAGCACCATCAGTGTCCTCATCCTCATCGTCATCATCAACACCATCATCACCATCATCATCGGCATCACCATCACCACTGCCATCGTCATCACAATCAGCATCACTATCATCACCATCATAATCATCATCATCATCATCATCGACATCATCATCGCCCTCAACATCATCATCATCATCATCATCATCATCACCATCGGTATCAACATCACCACAGCAGTTATGATCACCACCATCATCATCAGCATCAGCATCACCATCATCATCATCATCATCAGTATCATCATCATCTGCATTATCATCATCATCATGATCAGTATCATCATCATCATCATCATCATCATCATCATCATCATCATCATTATCACCAGCATCGTCCTCATCGGCATCAATGCCACCATCATCACTATCATCACCATCATAATCATCATCAGCAGCATCATCATCATCATCACCATCGCCACCATCATCACCATCACCATCATCATCATCACCATCATCATCATCACCACCATCATCATCAGCTGCATCATGATCATCGCACTCATCATCACCATCACCATCACCATCACCATTATCAGCATCACCACCATCATCAGCATTAGCATCAGCATCATCATCAGCAGCATCAGCATTAGCATCATCATCACCATCACCATCACCATCATCATCATCATCAGCACCATCAGCATCAACATCAACATCATCATCATCATCACCATCATCATCATCATCATCATCATCATCTGCATTATCAGCATCATCATGATCAGCATCATCATCATCACCAGCATCGTCATCATCGTCATCAATGCCACCATCATCGCTATCATCACCATCATAATCATCATCAGCAGCATCAGCATCATCATCAGCATCATCATCATCATCATCATCATCGCCACCATCATCACCATCACCATCATCATCATCATCATGACCAGCATCATCATCACCAGCATCATCATCAGCAGCATCATGATCATCACACTCATCATCACCATCACCATCACCATCACCATTATCAGCATCACCACCATCATCAGCACTAGCATCAGCATCATCATCAGCAACATCAGCATTAGCATCACCGACACCATCAAGATCATCATCAGCATCATCATCACCACCATCAGCATCATCATCATCATCATCATCATCATCAGCATTAGCATCAGCATCATCGTCTGCATTATCATCAGCATGGTCAGCATCATCATCATCATCACCAGCATCGTCATCATCGTCATCAATGCCACCATCATCACTATCATCACCATCATAATCATCATCAGCAGCAGCATCACCATCATCATCGCCACCATCATCACCATCACCATCATCATCATCACCATCATCATCATCACCACCATCATCATCAGCAGCATCATGATCATCACACTCATCATCACCATCACCATCACCATCACCATTATCAGCATCACCACCATCATCAGCATTAGCATCAGCATCATCATCAGCAACATCAGCATTAGCATCACCAACACCATCACCATCATCACCATCATCCTTACCACCATCAGCATCAGCATCAGCATCACAATCAGCATCATCATCATCTGCATTATTATCATCATCATCATCACCAGCATCATCATCATCATGATCATCATCATCATCATCATCACCAGCATCGTGATCATCATTATCAATGCCACCATCATCACTATCATCACCATCATAATCATCATCAGCAGCATCAGCATCATCATCATCATCATCATCATCGCCACCATCATCACCATCACCATCATCATCATCATCATCACCATCATCATCATCATCACTACCATCATCATCAGCAGCAGAATGATCATCACACTCATCATCACCATCACCATCACCATCACCATTATCAGCATCACCGCCATCACCAGCATTAGCATCATCATCATCATCAGCAGCATCAGCATTAGCATCACCATCACCATCACCATCACCATCATCATCATCATCATCATCATCACCACCATCAGCATCATCATCATCAGCATCAGCATCAGCATCAGCATCAGCATCATCAGCATCATCATCATCATCTGCATTATCATCATCATCATCATGATCAGCATCATCATCACCAGCATCGTCCTCATCGTCATCAATGCCACCATCATCACTATCATCACCATCATAATCATCATCAGCAGCATCAGCATCATCATCATCATCATCATCATCGCCACCATCATCACCATCACCATCATCATCATCATCATCACCAGCATCATCATCACCACCATCATCATCAGCAGCATCATGATCATCACACTCATCATCACCATCACCATCACCATCACCATTATCAGCATCACCACCATCATCAGCATTAGCATCAGCATCATCATCAGCAGCATCAGCATTAGCATCACCATCACCATCACCATCATCATCATCACCACCATCAGCATCATCATCAGCATCAGCATCAGCATCAGCATCATCATCATCATCATCATCTGCATTATCATCATCTGCATTATCATCATCATGATCAGCATCATCATCATTCGCCGCTCCCGGGCCCAGGATGGGTGTGGCCATCGGTGGTTGAGATGTATAGATCTCGTCGCCCTCAGAGGGAACAGGACCGAGCGGTCATTCATTGTCCCTGGGCTGGGTGCGTGGCAATTGTGGCGTTCCGTCTGGCGGATTCTGCTTGTTATGTTATTGTTGTTGAACTCTCATTACTGAAAAATGATCATTGTTGATCCCCCCCTCTGGTGACCATTGTATTTTTCAATTGAAGTGCTCCCCCTGGGGCTCGCATTCGTTTTTTCAGGGAAAGTCACGGGGCTCAAACTGCGTTGTTGGCCCCCGGTTTACAACAACAATGGCTCCCGCTTGATACTTCTTCACAATGTATTCCCAAATCGCGCTCTCGCGCGGGACTTCCTCACAATTTATATACGAATCGCGCTCTCGCGTGGGACATCCTCACAGTTTATTGAAACGATGCGCCCTCGGCGCTCAGAATCACGCGCTCGTTTTGGCATTTCTCGTGATTTTTGTTGGGAATCGCGCTATCGCTCGAGACTTCCTCGCGATTCATGCAGGACCCACGCTTCAGCAACCCGCCTGCTCGACCTGGTCGCCTGGGCCCGCCTTCCCGACCTGCCCGCTATGGGTCTGGCCACCCGATCTGCCCGTCTGGTTCTACCACTTGTTTTCTGCTCCTTGCCCCCCCCCTGCAAATTTCTCTCGTGCTCCATTATTCT